ATTTCAATTATAATTTCTGTTACTGTCATTGTAAAGACACCGACACACCTTGGAAGAAGGTCTCTCCAATGTTTTCTTCCCAGGAAACACTCCAATTTTATCTCACTGTTAATGTACTGGAGAGTTTTTCCCTGTCAACTGGAGAGAGGCGTCTCAATAGGCTCTTTGAATTTAATGATTCGATTTATAATTTCTCTTATTGTCATTGTAACAACACCGACACATCTTGGAAGAAGGTCTCTCCAATGTTTTCTTCCCAGGGAACACTCCAGTTGAACCTCACTGTTAAACTATTGGAGAGTTGTTCTCTGTCAACTGGAGAGAGGCGTCTAAATAGGCTCTTTGAATTCAACAATTTGATTTATAATTTGTGTTACTGTCATTGTAAAGACACCGAAACACCTTGGAAGAAGGTCTCTCCAGTGTTTTCTTCCCAGGGAACACTCCAATTTAATCTCGCAGTTAAGGTATTGGAGAGTTTTTCCCTGTCAAATCGAGAGACGTGTCTCAATAGGCTCTTTAAATTTAACTGTTTTTTTTTAATATATATATATTTTCCGTTATTGTCATCATAACGAAAGACCTTGGAAGAAGGTCTCTCCAATGTTTTCTTCCCAGGGAACACTCCAATTTAATCTCACTGTTAAAGTATTGGAGAGTTGTTCCCTGTCAACTGGAGAGAGGCGTCTCAATAGGCCCTTTGAATTTAACTATTTCATTCATAACTTCTGTTATTGTCATTGTAAAGACACCGACACACCTTGGAAGAATTTCTCTCCAATGTTATAAGGACAGCTGTTGCCAAACCTCCACCAACAGCCTTTTGCAGCAACATACCGGCTATAGCTCCATCTGCAGATTCTGGATGATAGCTGTGTCAACACCTCCACTTACAGTCTCTGTCAGCAACTTAAAGGCACCCTTCCACCTGCAAATTCTGTCAGTCAGCTGTGGTTAAACCTCCACCTATAGCCTCTGTCAACAACCTTTACTGCTTACTCTTGTCCATTTGCCATATGAAGACCTAAGTGGACCAGGAGGGATGAGAGGGGCACTTTGAAGTTTAAATTTCATGTAAGGTATTCAAACACAGCTGTGTAACAATCACATGCATGGACAAATAAATTAATGCCACCTTTGTGTTTATTTCATGTTTACATCTTCTTCTTCTCCTCACAGGTAATTCCACATGTGGTGTGAAAGAAAAGCACAGACCCATCATCATAAACCTGACTGACTAAGATGCTGAACTTCATCTACCTCCAGCCTCTGTCAGCAAGCTGCAGCCTTCATCTCCAGCTACAGGTTCTGACAGACAACTGTGCCTAGACCCCCACCTAGAGCCTGTGTCCACAATCTGCAGCTCCCTCCTGTACCTTCTGATGCTGGCTTACGACTGTTGGTAAACCTCCACCAACAGCATCTGTCAGCCTCTCCCTCCATCCTCCGGCTCCAGCTACAGATTCGAACCAACATATGTGGCAAGACTTCGACCAATAGCCTTTCTCAGCAACCTGTACTGCTGACTCTTGTCCTTTTGCCATATGAAGACCTAAGCAGACCAGGAGGGATGAGAGGGGCACTTTGAAGTTTAAATTTCAGTTAAGGTATTCAAACACAGCTGTGTAATAATCACATGCATGGACAGATAAATTAAAGCCACCTTTCTGTTTATTTAATGTTTACATCGTCTTCTTCTTCTCACAGGTAATTCCACGTGGTGTGACAGAAAAGCACAGACCCATCATCATAAACCTGACTGACTAAGATGCTGAACTTCATCTACCAGAGGGATCTTCCACCCACTCATCTGAACCTAAGGTAGTGTAGCTCAGGCTGGTGTATAGCACTATGAAATATTTGGTAGTGTCTTAGTGTCTCGCCGTGCATTTTTAGTTTATGTGATTTTTGTATGCATGTTAGAAATGATCAAGCCTGTAGAAGTTGTTGAGTGAAACTAGGGATGCTATATCTGTATAATGGAACATCTACAAATTTTATCTAAGGTGGAAACTCTTTGTGTTTTTCTGCAGGCCCTGTTGGACCTCACAGACTTCCAGATCAACCAGGATCTTATTAAGGGCTGGGAGGACAATTCCATCTACGTGAGCTGTCTAGCAGAGGTACTAATTCCACCTCGCCATGAAGAGACACTCCCACTCTCTCTCTGTTAACCCAACCAGTGGAGCGCCAACCATAGAGTCTGGTTCTGCTCAAGGTTTCTGCCTGTAAAAAAGACTAAATTTATCGGGTCCCTGTAACTTAAAGATTATGGTCTAAATCTGCTCACTATGAAAAGTGACCTGAGATTATTTTTGTTATGATTTGACTTCATAAAGTAAATTTAACTTGTATTGGCTTAAAAATACTTATGTGTCTCTCTCTCACTGTCCTGTACTTCATCAGTGTCTCCTGTCTACAGTTAGACATGTTAGCATGCTTAATAAAGAGTCATGAGTTCTTCAGTCTGTACTGAGCCATCAGCAAAAGCTTGTCAGTCATCTGCAATTATGAAAAATGTTAATAAAAGATTCATAAAATAATCCTTTAATTTTTTTCAGTTGTAAACATCAATAAGTTGTTAAGAAAATGTTTCTGCTCTGTTCTGCAGCACCAAAGTATTGAAACATTTATCTTCCTGAACTAAAGAGCGGGCTGATGATGATGATGATGATGATGATGATGATGATGATGAGGGAGGCATCCAGGACGCAGGGGCGAAAATCCCATTTCATAGTTGGGAGGGACAATAAACAGTAAAATTTTAGAGAATAATTCCAGGGGGGGGACAAGGAAAAAAAGTTGTAGCCTGTCTTTTATACAGCATCTTTTACCGCAATTTGACGCTTTAACCTTCTCTCTATCTCTCCAACAGGCAGAGTGAATGTCTATACTAACTAAACTAAAACTAAAACTAAACATTTCCTGCAAGTAAACTGGTAAACTGGTTTATAAACAGTGTGCTGTGAGATCTGCCGCACCTCACAACTGTGCGTTATAGTCGCGCGTCATGACCGCTCTTCGTCGGTTAAACTGCACGTCTTTCATGTTTGTCTCACTGACAGGTGGAGAGCCTACAGACAGGTACCCATTAGCTACGAGCCACTCCGCCACTGACTGCTTTTGTCCTGTCCTCTCCCTCTTCTTTCTCTCCTGTCCTCTCTATCACCAAACTCTGAGCTTAATCATTAGCTTTTAGCTTAGCAGCACTCGTAATTGAGTAGGCTTTTGAACAATGCAGGAGAAATGTTGCAGACAGTTTATATTATCAGCCTGGGCCTGGGGCTTGTTGTAACAGTAAATGGGATGTGTTGTAACTTGTGTAAGTTAAACTGTGTCTGTGTGAGTGTACATCTTACCCTGCAATGCGCGATGTGGGCAGTGGGTCCAGCCACACACTGCTACTGCTGCCAAGTAGCCCCGCCCGTTGGAAAGAGTGTGGGATATACCGCTACTAGGAATGGGAGGGGGGGATGAGCACCGCTTACATTGTGCTTTCAATAAATACTATTGCATTGTTCAAAAATGAATTGTGTCTCAAATTATTCTAGGGGGGGGACAGCTTTACTGAAGGGGGAGTCATGTCCCCCCTGTCCCCCCCGGGATTTCTGCCCCTGCTGGGACGTATTATTGATGGCTTATAAATTATTTATAAAGAAAAAATTAATTATTAACTTTTAATACAGCCATTAATTAATGCTTATTAACACTTTACAAAACCAAAAGTGGACTCCACTACATTTTAGAGGGAAGCATTGTACTTTTCACTCCACTACATTTTACTGACAGCTTAAGTTACTATTTACTTTGAAGATTCAGATTAACAATACAAAATATAGTCAAAAATAATTCACAATATCATTGTGGCTTTATTGGTTCCTTGGCGAAATTCACAAACTGTAAATCATAAGTAAAGTAATATTTACATATATATATTAAAATTAGCTCATTTAGACCTACTAGCTGCAACATTAAAGTGACAAACATGTTCATCAATAATAATAATAATAATAATAATAATAATATAATTGATAACATAAACTACAAGTAGCGTTTCATGTGACCATGGTATGTTGGTATGTTGCACTGTTATAAATTATGGTGCAGGCTGACTGATAAATCAGGAAATGTATATATAGAGACAGCTGTCTGTCACAGTGGTGTCCGGTAGTTACGACCGGCCTTTTTCAAGGGCATATATAGCAAATGGCACTGTTTTTAATTTCATGAGGGTTCTTCTTTGAAAACAGACATTCATAAGGGCCCATTCTCCACCCAACTGTGGAGGGCCTGCTCTCTCTATGGGTCCCCCCACTGCATGAGCCCCAGTGCAACTGCACTGCATGCACTGTCTGTATTTACGCCCCTGGTCTGTTGGCATGTCTACATCACCTGCACTCATCTAAATTTTTTAGATGGAGAGAAATTATGAGAAAGAAATCATAGTAATCAGGAGTGGACTTTTCCATTATGGCACAACTATAAGGGCCTAAACTTTTATAGATCTGGTATGATGTTCAGATGTGAAAAAAATGTTGAATTATGTTAGTATTTTATGCCGTTGTACCCCAAAATAACTCACCAAAGGCCCCTAAAGCTCCTTTTAATTTAAAAAGCAACTGTATACTTAAACTTCAGAGGAAAACACTGTACCACTACATTTATCTGACAGATAGATGTTACTGGTTATGTAGGAGATTCTGATTTTTACTTACAAACTTTAACAATCAGAATATGATGCATTACTTTTTTTTATAATACAACTACGTCTTTTATTTTTAACAATTTATTTTGATTCTGAAAGAATACCCAGTACAACTCATGTTTTGCGATGGCCTTGTTTTTCTTCTATGTTAAAACCACCGAGAAGCAAAGAGTGTTCAGCCCACAAGTGCAACACAGGCTGAGAGCTAGAGCAGCCGCTGGGGGGCAGTAGTGCAGTAATAGAACCTAATGCACACAGCGGGAGAAGAAGGATGGCGCCGGAACCGGAACACACTGTAGTGGTATTTTATGAACAAAACACCTATGATTTTGAAACATGGCGGTGAACGGTGTTTACACCACTCGAACCAGGTGGACAGTGGATATGGAAGATTTACTTGTAGACTTGTGGAAACAGTATGAGTGCTTGTATGACGTGTCGTCGGATACATATCACAATAAAGCCGAGAAGGAGCGGTGCTGGGAAGAGATAGCTGTTGCTCTGGATCTGTCCGGTGGGTGATAAACACATTTACCTCTGTGTGCATACCAACGTTACTTTACTGTGTGTGTGTGTGTGTGTGTGTGTGTGTGTGTGCGCGTGTGTGTGTATGTAGGAGGAGGAAAATAACCCGGTCTGGAAGGCCACAGTTTAAGTTGTGGTTGTGACCTGACACTTGTATTGTATTTCTTACTCGCAGTGGAAGAAGTGAAGATGAGGGCGACCTCTCTACGGACTCAGTACACCAGAGTCCTGAAGCCTCTAGCTTTAAGCGGTGGGAAAAAAAATAAAGCCCTGACAACAAGACAGAGGAGGATCCTCAAGTCCCTGAAGTTTCTTAGAAAACATGTCAACCCTCGTTTCACTGACTGCAATGTGAGTGTTAAAAGTTCCACAGCCTCCTGAGAAGGCATTTCACTACAATAAGAAAATGTGTTGTGTGTCAGCATGTACCTCAACAGGGGACAGAGATCATAAGGTTTCTTTACAAATCCAGTAAGAGAGTCTCATATAAGATTATTTATCAAGGGTTAAGTTAAGGGTTGATTCCTTAAAGCTGTGATCCTTTCACTTGTAATTGAGAAATTCAGACAAACTGGGTTGATAGTGAGATGCTGAAAAGTGCAGCTTTCATCATCTGTATTCAAATCTGAAAGATGAGGGCTTTTTAGAAGCTCAAACTGATCAGTGTACTCACTGTTTACTTTGGCTAGCTGACCAATAAGAAAGGTTTCCCATCCTGTCTGACTGACTCTTCAGATGCCTAACTTACATTGATCTGTGTTACAGTCTGACCAATCAACAAAAGACACATTGAACACACAACAGAACAGTGAAGAGAGCAACCCAGAGGACACAGCCTTTTCCTTGGACCTGGACTCTGGAAGGTCACACTCACCGGCAGAGAAAGCTACTATTGTTCGGACCAACTGGTCTATAGAAAAGGAAAACAGACTTTTACAACTGTGGCAGCAGCACAACTGTTTGTACGACTTGTCTGCTGACAGATTTCACGACAGGTTGGAGAGAGAAAAGAGATGGGCTGAAATTGCTTCGGCTTTGGAACTTCCAGGTATGTGTTTGTTGTGTACGTCTTCTTTGTGTGTGGTGGGAAAACTGTTGTTATAGAGGAGGAATCTGAAAAAGATGTAAATTATTGATATTGTGTAGAGCTTCAACTAATTATTCTTTTTAATCAGCTGGTGTACATTATTTTTCAAATAATGGATTTATCGGTTAGTGCAGTGGTGCCCAACCTTTTTTGAATGGAGATCTACTTTTACAGACACCATGTCCTAACACCAAATGAGTGTCCTACTATTGTGCTGCATTGTGTGACATCAAAGCTCTCTGTCCACATTGAAGCTATTAAATGTGCACTTCTGTTACCTCATGTAAGCAAACCAACCAACCACTTAAAAGATGGGGATTCCTGACTTTCTACTTTTTAAATGGAGAAGATATTTTATATTGTGGTATTTACTGGAAATGACATACAATATAGCTAACAACCAACTAGCTTGTTATAAGTAATGGTCTTTTAGCTCATCAGAAACTTTCAGCTCCCCTGAGAACCCCCTCTAGTCAGCTTATGTTGGTTTTTGTAGTAAATAAGAGGTATTGTGTAGATAATTAAGCTGGAGCCTGTATCACGAAGCGAGATCAACCTTTCCTGGGTTACCCAGACCTATCCTGGGTTGACTAACCCTAACAATGGCAATCAGGATAATCGGTATCACGACGCTGGATATCAACTCGGTAACACAACCCAGGGTTGCTTTATCAAGAGCTGTGAACGCGCACGCAGCAGACAAATCACAATCATGAGAGAAGCACAGCATCACTGAGCGTCCTCACAGAGCGCCGTATGTGAGGGAGAAAAAAGTATTTCTCGTGAGGATCAGAGATTAATTCTACTAAAATATGAGGAGAAGAAAAGCAACATTACAGAAAAGGCCAACACCGTGGCAGCTGCAGGAGGAGGAAACGTGTGGCAACGCATAACGGGATGAATAATGTTTTTTTAGTTTAGATTATTTGCACATAATGTTAAAAACAGACAGTATAAAATTTACAAGAT